GAAGGCCTGTGCCACGAGGTGTCGCTGCCTATCAAACAAAATACACTGGTTCCTCTAAGCGACAGGCTCTCATCAAGACCTATTTAAAAACTTGTCAAGCTTCACTAAAACTTCTTCTGCATTGCCTAGCACCCTCCTGTCCAGTGGCCTACATGAGTATTTTTAACAGCACCCTCTAATTGCGGGCACTGAGTTTGCATTGTACACAACGAAGTTTTGCTCTCCAGTCTGACTAGCCTTTGTGCCTGGTCTTGGGTGCCCAGGCAGACAACGGATCAGGTGCCGGCAGGAGCAAGACTCATTCATTACCTGTGTGCAAAGGGCAGGAAGCACTGTTGCATTTATGGTGTGCTGGGAGCCTGCTGTGGTATCTTTTGGACTGTGATGGCTTTATGATTGCAGGCAGGGATGCCTGTTGCAGCAGAGGACTGGACTTGATAACACCACAGGTGTCTCTCCTTCATTGGGCAAATCACACCACCGTGCCTACGTTCTCCCACTGTTTTACTCATATGGCATGTAAATGTTTTGAGATAGGGGCTGTAACTCCTTAGTACAATGCTTCATCTGTAGGTGGGCCTTTGCATACAGCTGTAATACCAATGATACTGGGGGACTCTCTCAATTTTGCCACCTCTTGCCTCTCTGCGTGCAACAGATGATTCAGACCACGAGGGCAAACCCTGCAACCTTTCCTGAGTCAGACTGACTGATATCTTCCTTTCCTGAGGAGGGGCACTGCAGGAAATACAGTCTTAATCTTGTGAGGAAGGCACAGTTTGGGCTGTGGTTTAATTTTATGAAACCTTTGGAGGAAATAAAGCACTGTCATCCCAGCTCCTTCCTTTTGCTCTTACCCGACGCACACAGTTGTTCTGGTAGAGCTGTGTATGCTGCGTGCTGTGAGCTTGGGAGGACCACTGATTGCATTGAGAAAAACCCCACATATTAAAAAATTTGACAGGGCATTTCTGGTACAAGTGACACAATAGGAAACCAAACCACTGATCCATAAGTGCAGCACACTTAACATTTCCTGTGTGCTCTCACATTTCTCTCACCACCACACTGCGTGAAGGACTGGCTGAATGTTTTCAGTATTTCTTAAAATGTGAAATAGCCGCCACACAGCACCTTCCACAGTTGATTTTTGTTTCTTTCTGAAATGTTAAGAGCTTTTTTTTTCCATTAATGAAACAAGAAGATGTTTTTGGAAAAGGTTTCTATTGAAACACTGGAAAGTTTCAACTCAGTATTTTTTGGGAAGAAAATTTTCAATTCCTGCAGGACCAAAATCATTCTTCTCTCATAGTCCTGTGCTAGGTGAGATTTCTCAGCCTAAGAGAGCATTGGAGGCAGGGAGAGGAGGTGGCAATTGTCACAAACATGCTGGATGCTGAAAGTCTCAGGCAATGTGAGTGACATTTCCCCGTAGTTCTCGCTGGATGATTTGAGAAATTTCTTAAAGGAAGGTGATCCAGATAAAAATTATTTTAAAAGGAGTTTTTGCCTAAGATCTTGGTAAATGAGTGACTAAGACCTTTAGTCATTCAGACACTGCTCTTTAAATGGTCTTTTCCTGCCATTTAATTAACTTCCCTGCTTTGCTAAGGGTGTGATGCTGCAGACAGTTCTGGCAGCACCTGCTATCTGCACTGCTCCTGCAGCTGAGCCTGCCGCCCCTGCGCTTGGTGTTGTACGTGTGCTCACGGCTTACGAGGCAGCCCACACCCCACGTAGCATTTCTCGTCGTTTCTCCAGAACGTGGTCCTATATCCCTCTCAACACGGATGTGTACACAGGTATTGTGCAGATGGGGACTGAGGCACAGAAAAAAATTAGTGACCTCCCTGTAACAGTTCCGAGGTGCAAGCCCAAGGCTTGGCAGTTGGAAAGTAATATCTTCAACTTAGGAAGCTACCTGCAGAGCTTCCTAGCAGAGGTGCGGTTTTCACCAGTGCGAGATTGCTTTTCTTGGCTTAATGTCTTTATTTCTGGAGGTGTTGGAGCTGATGTAACTGTGGTAGCAAAAGTGCGCAGGATGGGCCTGTCTTCAGAGCTAGGCAAAGTAAAACCTGAGGGCAGGAGAGGAATTTTTCCTTCAATGTTTTTCACCACCTGTTTGGAAAATTGAATGAGCCTGGCAGTGTCTGAAGAGAAAATACTCATTGGCCCCAAACTAAACAAAAAGCATAGTCTGAAATTGAAAGTGAGACTTCACCCAGTTCCAAAGTTTTCCCTGGAAACTACTTGTAATTTTTGTGGAGAATATACTGTTCTTCAAGGAAACCTACGCTTAAGGGAGGGGCAGAAAAATTTTGAACAACTCAAAAGTCACCAGGAAACTTCGTCCCCTGTCCTGAGTTTCTCACACCAAGAGGACAAATTTGAACCTGAGGCTCAGCGATCGCTCTCACTCAGACAACATTAATCTCTTTGGCAGTTCTTCTGCCCAACTCTTCTTTCTTTCTCCCTGGCTTGCGTAGGTCTGTAGGACGAGTTGTGCGGCAAAGGCATTTGTACCATCCAGGAACGCAGAGTGTGGCAACAGCCACCATCCCTGTCAGTGGCTGCAGCTGTGACTTTGGCAGCAGGGTGCTGGGGGAGCAGATATATCAAAGTGACAGCCTGAGACTGTAAACAGCAAGGAGCTCTAGCAGCGAGCCTGATCCTGGCTTTAGTGCACTAGTTGTGTGAACTTGAACCTTCTTGGCTCTCCCTGGGAGATCTTTTTGTTGAAGGCTTAGCTCTGGCCTGGAACTGGGGGCACTTGATCTTCTGCAGCTCAGGAGGGGAAATATTTCCTATTTGTGTTCAGACACTAACATTCAGGCTGCTGAGTGTTTGGGTTTGATGGAAATTAGTTTGGAAGGTTTAGGAAAGCAAATATGACAAAATGATGGGATCAGCAAAGAACAAAATGCTATTGGGAATTAAGAGGTTAAAAAATCTGCAGAGCTCGGTGATGCCAGATGGTAAAACAAAATGCAGCAGTGTCCCCTTGACCCAGACAGGCATCTGGGCAATCTGTCACCAGGAGGAAGAGAAGAGAATGGGT